CATGTGTTTCTCTACAAAGTTATTTCTTCTCTCTTTTTTTTTTAGAGTTTTTTATGCCAAATTGAAGAATAATGAAGAATTGGGTTTTCAATTTGCAGCTTGGGAATCTTGTTTTGCATTCTGGTTTGAGACTGAAGGAGTTCGCCATCCTTCTTGCTTTAAGTTCTTCCCTTTTTCCCATATTTTTGCTAGTTTCAGAGCTGTAGGAGATTTATCGCTCAAGTTTAAAGATTATTTATTGTTTCATATTGAATTGATTAGACTTTTGAAGGGGAGCGTAAAAGTTCCGCGAAATCTTCTGTGCATTTTCATTTTTCCTTCCATAGCTTTGCTTCTTCCGAAACTTTAATGATACCTTGATACAGAACGCACAAATTCTACGATTTTCTCTACTCTCCATTTCTAACGAATGCAGAAGATTTCCAAAGAGAATTGTAAAAAATGAAATTTCTCCTTTTTCTCTTCTTCCTTCGTTAATTTGCCAGTTAATTGAACGACACGGATTACAAAGAGTAAGGAATATCTTGCAAAGAGCAGGGGGAAAAAATCTCAAAGATAATTTGATTACACACAGTTGTAGTTGAATACCGAAAGAAAATCTTGCAATGAAAATTGAAAAATGCAGAAATATCTAGAATAAATTTCGTACAACTTGTAGTAATTTTGAGCTTAGCTTCCGGTCTAATGAATGTAATTGGAAAATCTAATAATCAATGGAAACAAAGTCTCAGATATCTTAAGATTGAACCTTAGGGTTGGAATAAGGGAAAATTCGAACTGACTACCCTCCATTAGGGAAAACCTCTCTAGAAATGGTGGTCGGCCCGTAATGCCGCAAACTACTAGAAAATTGATAGTAACCTCATGTTTAATTATCATGCGTGCACAGTACACTAGTGCTTATGGTCTGCTGATAAGCGAAAGCAGAATTCCCAGTCGCACGTGCTAGATAGTTAGTTACAAGTTCCGCAACTTCTTACAATTAATAGAAATGTAAAAGCGCTTTTATCAAGTGAAATGAAATTATCAAGCGAGAAATTGTAGGGCAGCAAAATTAGAAATTTCAAGAATAGGAAAACTTAATTTCGTTACTATCGAGGAACGAAAAACTGGATATCATAGAATTAGGAGAATTAAGAATTCTGTTTTCACAATAAGTGGATTAAAGCGTTCCGGCTCCTCTGTTAATAATAGAGTAACGAAGTTTCAGTTATTGGCAAACGCAAGAATCAAAATTAGAAATTCTGGAAATTAGAAATTCTGTCTGATAAGATAACAGAATTGATAACGAAATTATTGGTAATAGAATAATTAATTTTTGGTTATTGGGATTAATAAAATTACCAACAAGTTACGAAAAGTAAAAATCCCGTTTCCGCGATGGAAACGTTCTCACAAGTTCTCTTCATTAATAACAAAGCAATCAATATTTGGTCATTGTTATTAATAAACTAATGGAACGGACAAATTACAAAATTACAAGATTGGAATGTTTTATGTATTCTCTTTCTGTACAATACAATTGTATTCCCACAAAAAGAAGGGGTTGACGATTTTCTTCATTACAAAATGTTGTTAATAAGAAACGTATTAAAATAGCCGAGTAATTAATTTTTTTTGTTATTAATACTATTTTCAGTGGGGATCAAAATCCTGAAATTTCCATCACAAATAACTATCTCGAACAAATTAAGCCTGTTTATAGCCGACATATTTTTGCATCGTATCCCATCGACGAGATTACATTTCCCCTGGATAATGCAATTTCTGAACGTTTTCAGAATATGTTACTAGGACATCGGTGATTAGTGTTACCAGCAATAAAGTTTCTAGCTAATTGAATTTACCGGCTGGCAATAAGCGTCAAAAGTGAACAGCCTGTTTCGCAATTAGGGAAATACGGATTTTACGACATTAAACTTGTTCTGGTCGGAGCAGCTGCAATTTTCTCTTGCAAAATATTGTGCTGGCTATATATAGAATGTTTCAAAATTGTATCAGTCCAATAAAGCAGACAGCTGTGATACTAATAAACGGGGAGTAAACAATATTTCCTAAATTTCACAATAAAAAAATTATTAGACAATATTTCCTAAATTTCACAATAAAAAAATTATTAGAATTATTAGAATACATTGCACATATATATATATATTTTAGACTATATATAATTAATTTGTATAATTAATTTATGTCATCTGCTGTTTGGTGCATAGTATTTGAAACAATAGTTTTCTTGAAACCTTTTTGAAATCCGACGGATACAGTCGATCTAATGTGGATTAATATGTATTTGGATTACGAGCATAATCAAGCTTGTGATTTTTCACAGAAATCTTGCAGAATGCATGGTAGCGCATTTCTGAGAATTTAAATGATTCTTGGAATACATATCGATTACGAATTTTAATAGATTTATCAGAAATTTAACCCTCAGATATTATCATCAAATTAAAACAAATATTGTAATTTTTGTTTGGATTACTAAAATCCCAGATTGATAGAAATTAGTTATAAAAATGTTTTAGCTCCAACAATCCAACGATATCAATTAAGAACAATTATCAACAATATTTCGATAGAAATTTTACTAATGAACAAAGGTAATGTTTTTTTAAAATTTCATATGGCTAAGTAAAAGAATATAGCACAACAGATGAAAACTATTACATAGTTGTGTAATATTAGCTAAAATGTTCTGAAATATTTTGGAAAATAAAGGGGGGAGGGGAATCCATTTATCTAAAAATTTCTGCACACCGTTACACCTCTGCTACTTAACAATTAATTAATATTACTTAACAAGTTCCCTGTGAAGTTTCATTCACAGTGTCGCCGTGATCGTCGCGCGTGTAATCTCCTCCACTTGGACCATGTAATAAATTTAATCTCTGATACGAGAGGAGTTCGGCGTGCTATAGCACGGAATATGATCATCATTTTCCTCTGAGCATTAACGCGGGAGCCTCTGTGATTGGCAAACATGATTATTATTAGAGGAGGATCGGGATTAAGAAAGACGTTGGTTCCTGATAGACCCTCGTCTATCGGAGCCATTCTATTTTCGGCCTCGAGACGAGACATCTGCTTAAAATGTTCTCGTAAGTTCGATCGAGAAATAGGAAGTAAGAAACTAGACGGAAATGTCATTCACCTTAGACTCATCAATATCCAGGTTTAAAGTGACGAAAATAGCCTCCTTTTTCTTCAAAGCGTGATAGCGAAGATTAAAAATTACGAGGGTGAGACTGACTGATCAAATGGGCTAATACGAGGAATAGAATTATTTAAGATGTGAGAAGATTGGTAAATAGTCATTCAGGTGGAATTCATTCATCTTGAGTAAAATTCATCGCGAGACGGTGAGAAACTGTGAAAGACCAAATCCATGTTTTTGCGAACATGACTCAAGAAATAGAATCCAAGCAAATCCTTGTTTTATCTACCAAGTATTATTGGTACGCTACTTGGATAATCCGGTTCTATTATACGACTAGATGTTGAACTTATGAGAAATTTATTAATAACTAGAAGTAATATTTAATTATCCCCTTGTGAAATAACATAAATACATAAAATCATGTTAATAGAAATATATAAAAAAAAAAAAAAAA